AGTGGGACTGAAGACTGCGTGTCCGTACTCTGCTCTTCACACTCTGTTTGTTTTATTCTTCACTCTCTGCTTTTTTCTTCCGTTCTTTTGATCATCGCTCACACACACACACACACACACACACACACACACACACACACACACACACACACACACACACACACACACACACTCATCTACCTGCTATCTTCAACTTTGGTGCTGCCAGTCAGGAATGTAGGTCTTCGCTTAGTGGAGCAAGCAGCAACAGGTCTGACCTTCTGAATGGGAGTTTATGTGAAGGGAAGCTTTAAACAAAAGACCACGATCAGGACAAAAAGACAGTCTGAAGAAGCTAAAGTCACGAGCAGTGCCACAGGTGTCCCGCTCACAGTCGAGTCCCTGCTGGGTTTGCTGGGTCGGTCAGTCTGGAGCAGCGTGGTGCCATGCAGGCGATGCATTTGCTGGACAACTGGAGAAAGGTAGTGGTTATATTTGGAGCCAACCACTGACAGGTGAACACTTAAACGCTGCTTGGTTCCTCTCACCGAACAAGAAAAGAGGAACAAGGTGTTTCTTCAGGCTCAAAAAGGAGTTTGGTTTTTTTACAAAAAAGCTCTTTGCTGAGAGCTCTTTGCTATTTTTATTTTCTGCCTGTTTTGTGATTTACTGTTTTTATGGCTCGCTCGAGGCTGCGCAGTCTGTCAGGAGAGCAAACACGCTGATAACGCAGCAGTGCTTTGTTATCCTGAAGGCAGAGCGTATCACGCACAACATTTTAGGCTTGCATACGACTCTGGTTGGCTCTGTAGACTCTGGGATAATTATGTGTTTTCTAACCTTTCCTGTGTGGTTTTCTGTGCTTCTCACATAATGACTGCAGTGTCTAACACCTACACTAATATAGACACGGAGCGTTATTTATACACATCCATCCTGTGCTGACTTGATGGAAATACCCCAAAAATGACGTGAATAATATGTGATGAGTGTGTGTTTGAGGAGATTTCCAGTCAATGTGTCAAGAGGTTTAAATGTGTGTTAAACCATCTGTTACCATCTGGTGTGTGTGTGTGTGTGTGTGTGTGTGTGTGCTGACAGTATGAATCACACCTATAGAGGCATTAGTGTGAGGGCAGAGTTGGGATGGGGATTCCCGACACGCACGCTCAGACTTTCATGAACTGTAGTGGAAACAAAGTGTGAGTCTGGGACCTTTTTAAGCTTTTAGCTTTTGCTTGGACATGGACTCCAAAAACAGAAATGTTTTTCCCTTTTTTTAACGTTTGAGAAATGAGCTCAGCCGTGACGACGTTTGTTACTCATGTTCTCATTTCCTCTTTCAGGATCTTCATGTGTCGCAGGGAGCCGTGGACAGCTCAGTGGATATGGACCGCCTGAACAGGAACATGCCGGAGTGTGGACGGCAAACTCACCAGGTGTTACAGGTGAGTGTGTGTGTGTGTGTGTGTGTGTGCTGTGAGATGGAAATAAGAGTCAGTCAGAGTTTTATTTTTGTTCATTGGTTCATTCAGTGTCATGCACGTTAGACAGAAGTAGACGCCTTACCTCCACACTAACCTTGAGATCCAGTGTTATCATTGTGACCTACAGTGGGAGCTCCACAGCATCCAACCACAAACAACCAGAGCTGGGAAATAAGTGCAAGTGCAGAGTAGAACTTTGTTTTTAATCTGTACTTTACTTGAGTAGTTTTTTCTGACAACATACAGTTTTACACGAATATCTGTACGTCGTAAAACGGGCTCGTTACTTTAGGTTTAACACACCTGTGGGAAGTCCTTACTTCACATCACTGCACGACTTCAAACAGCGCACCGATCGGAGACTAAACAGTAACGCAGTATCCATCACTGGGGCTTCTAACATACAAAGAAGTAACAGAGGCAAACCCATGTCATTTATGCATCATTCATAGCGCTGTGCTCAGGGTTCAGCTGTGCCAAACGAGCTGGACTGTGTTTTTTGGTGAGGACGTCAATAATAAGGTCAATAATTACAGGAGTGAGCATGAAGAGTCCAAACACTTGATAGTTTTGAATGAGCACATTTGTGTCCTGTAGCTCCAGCGAGCATTAAAGACTGTTTTTGTTTTTGAAGAACTTGAAGCACAAGAACATAATCATTTAATTAGTAATTAGATTACACCATACAGCCTCAGTGCCATTTTCTAGATGCGATCACTTGCTGAACAAAGTCTTCATTTAGCCATATTTATTAGTCGCTGTTAAGGCCAGAGATGCATTGAGACCGTTTAGAGTCGGAGTCTTTGTAATGTGGCCTGGGACACCGTTCTTCTAGACGTGGCAGCTTCTTAAAAACACACAGAGGGCGCTCTCGTCGTCTGACGTCCTCTGATGTTGAATGTCGGCACACTGGGCGATGGGACGGTGTCCTGGCATGGAGACTCCACGGAGCGTAAGCACAGAGGCTGCCGTGTCACTGAGGTCGGCTCCAGCAGCACATATGTTGGCGAGGGTAAAGCAGTAATTAGACAGACTCGCAGATTAGATGTCTGTGCTTCACACCTGCTGCTTCTAAAAATCCTGCAGGCATTAAGGAGGGGGGGGGTGTTCTTCTTCTTTCCTTTTTTTCTGTGCATATATCCAGTTAGAGATGAAACTTCAGTGATTCCTGCAGACGTGCTCCGCAGACATGAGAGACGTTTAAAGGGAACTCGTCTTCATCTGCAGATCTTTTCAGTAGCTTTGACATTCAAAGTACTCCTCATGTAGCTCACACTGGGCCTGGCTGCTGCCCCTCATATCTGCTCTGTATGACATCATAAAGATCCATGAGCAGTGTAAGGCTGAGCTTTTGGCTCCCAGTTATTTGTACATTATTTCAAACTTTGGTTATGTTTAATGTGAGCATCCACCAAGAAACTCATTTCTTATTTCTTCAAAAGCACCCAGCTCAGCACAGCAGCGTGAACGCCGATCTCTGTTTAAACAGTCGTCACAGCAGATATCTCAGTCAAACTGAGCAGCAGATTGCTGCTGGGCCGATGTCACCCACCTGTGCAAAACAGCTTCTTATACTTCTGAATTTCACTTCCTGGTTTGTGGGGTGTCAGCCTGATATTAGCACGGTGTGACTCCTCTTTCCTTAAAGTCTCTGCAACAAAGCTGATGAGTGCAAATAGGAGTGCAGGACCGTTCATCATCACTCCAAGAGGACACGGCAATGAAATGAAACCGAACTGTCCTTTCAGACAAGTTGGCATTAGTCTCCACATTTCTACAATAATTAATTCCAGTGGTGTCCACCCTTGAAGGAAATGTCATAGAGGTAGTTCATGAATATAAATACCTTGGTGTCTGGATTGATGACTCCTTCACCTTTAAACCACATATAGAGAGACTAGTAAAGAAGCTGAGACTTAAACTTCGTTTTTTTCTTCCGTAATAAACAGTGCTTTTCTTTTGCAGTAAAAAAACGTCTTGTCACTGCAACCTTTTTATCTGTGTTAGATTATGGTGACATTCTGTATATGAACGCTTCTTCTTCATGTCTTCTAATGTTGGACACGATGTGTCATGCTTCCTTGAGGTTTATTACCAATTGTAAATACTTGACCCATCACTGTGATTTGTACTTAAGAGTAAAATGGCCTTCTTTGGCCATTAGAAGACAGGGACATTGGTACACTTTTATTTACAAAGCTATGCTTGGACTGCTACCTCCTTATATTTGTACTTTGGTCACAAGGACAAATAATGGTTCCTACTCCTTGCGCTCAAATGATCAGCTGCTGCTGTCTGCTCCCCTTGTCTGCACAGAGTTGGGTAAGAAAGCCTTTGTCCACTCTGTGCCTTTTTCATGGAACCTGTTACAGAAAGACTGGAAACTGACTGAACTGTTGTCTTTAAATGTTTTTAAAACTAAACTCAAAGGCTTACAGGCTGCCTCAATAATGTGTAATTGTTTTGTGTAATTTTAACTTTGTTTGTTTGTATTTGTCTTGAAATGTGCTGCCTCTTGGCCAGGACTCCCTTGAAAAAGAGGTCTTTGATCTCAACGGGACATTCCTGGTTAAATAAAGGTTAAATAAATAAAAAATTCTGTTAATTCACAGAAAAATGAGCAAAAACCAGGAAACAATATTTTGAACACAGTTGAAAAAATGTTTTTCTGCTATTTAAATTGAGCTGAGAGAGATTTTATGAGTTTAATCCAACATCTGATGATATTGATGATATTTTTTTGATTTGTCATTTTTAGTTGAATTTGCTGTGACAAAGTGATCCTGTAGTGAATTCATCTCTTCAAAGGCAGTAAAGAAATCAATAAGTCAAAGAGACGTAAACAAGGTTATCCATTTAAAATCCCCCAAATAAACATGTGACCATATAATGAGCTGATAGCAGCGGTACCTCACAACAGCTTCACTAATGTACAGACGAAGTACATATTTGCTTCTTGGATTACATCACAGTGTGTCCTGCACATGCAGGCAGGAAGCTGAGAGCTCCACATGGGAGCAGCAGCACACAGCAGATAAGCCATCTTGCAGACTCCACCCCTCTCATCCCATCACTCCCAGTATAAGCTCTCCCAGTGCCGTAAGCAAGATGCCCTCTATCTCAGCAATCCTCTTAGACTTGACCCCACTCTACCCACCGACCCCCGCCATCAGATAATCCTATCAGGACACGCCTGGCTAGCTAACCAGCCGAGAGGACGGCGAGTCACTCGTCTCGTCCTGAGAATGAAAAAAACAACACACAGCCTCATAAGTGGGACACAAAGATGCAGACACAGCAGTGTTTGAAAATGCAAATCAATGCCAGTAAATGCCTCCACACTCCTGCAGCTCCTTCAACACTGGAGCTGCCACAGAGCCGTGAAAACAACGTCAGACGCTGCCTGTCAGCACAGGTGGAGCACAGGTGGAGCACCTCCACCTGTGCTCCACCTGTGCTAGTTTGAAGTCCCAGACACTGGGACTGCTCCAGTCCCAGTGTCTGGGACTTCAAACTAACTCTGTGTGCAGTGAGGGACAGTGTTGTGGACCGACACTCGTTCAGACAAGTTAATGTGTTCAATCATGAAAGCATGATGTGCTGGCTTTGCCCAACATCAGCTTCCATGCACTTAATCACTTCTCCCACAGTTTCATGCAGTCACATGTAGTTCACGAAAAGAAGTAATTAGGTTTGGGATGAACTAATGAACACAGTGGAAACACACACAGGCAGGAAGTGAAAAATGTTCAATTTACCAAAATAAGACAAAGAGAAGAAGAATGTCAGGCGGGGACGCTTACGAGATTTACAGCTCCTGTGCACGAGGCTGATCATGACACTGGAACAGAAACATAGTGCCAAACAGCCGCACATCCTTCTGCACAGGCCTTCATGAACATGTATGAGCCAATGGGAAATAAAGATGCTTTTAAACAAACAGTGCATCAAATATGTTGACCACTACAAACAAAGCAGGACCTGAATTTTTATCCATGCACAGGGTCACCAGTGAGAAAGCGTGGGAACCAGAGCAGGAAGTTCTCCATCATGGGAGTTTGTCAGAAAAACTCGAGCTAAGAGCTCCACGCAACAGCTTCGGTTTGTCCCGTGAGAACTCGTCTATCGAGCCTGGGCGCTTTCCTGCCTCTCAGTCAGGCCTCCGTGCTGCTAACGGTTACAGAGCAGAAGACACTTGCGCTGCGCTGAAGTGCTCATCACAGGTTTGCTCGCCAAACGCCCTCCAGGAGCTTCGTGTCTCTTAATTGTGGAGCGCTGTTGCCATGGTGACGTCCCTTCCCCCTCGCCGAGCTGAGCGCACGGAGCCGCTTCAGCCTGAGCTGTGAGGGGAAGACGACGCGCACACCTCCCTCAGAGGATGATGTAAACAGCCACAGCAGCCTCCTCTGTGGCTCTGAGTGAAGCAACAAAAAGAGCCATCTCTCCTCTGTGGCCGCCCCCTGTGATGCTGCACGTCTGTGCTTTTATGTGACGTGCAAAACCAATTAGTTTGACTAATGGACGAGAAACAATCTCCCGTTAGGTCCCAGTCACAGCACTTTACCATCCACACACACGCCACGGCGTGACCTCCTCGGGTTCAGAGGTACAGACGGTCGGCTCTGTCAGGCTAACACAGCACGCTGCCGTGCTTTCACATGGCCACACATACCGACGCTTCAAAGATGGAATGGTAATGGCATTTTGTATAATTAATTACACCTCTAGCAGACAATCAGAATCCCTTCTTGCGATAGAGAACATGCAGCATGAGGCGAGGAGCATGCTTTTAAATCACATGACCGATGTTTATTTAATGTGCCAAAAACAGTCATCACACACTGTTAATGTTTGTCTGCAGAGCACCCCGCTGGACCTGATCGAGACTGGAAAGGGGCTGAAGTTCCAAGCAGAGCGCCCCCACTTGGTGAGCTTGGGGAGTGGACGACTGAGCACAGCCATCACCCTGCTGCCCCTGCCTGAGGGTGAGAGCACTGCCTTAACACCAACCGTCACATTAGTTAGCAGTGGGAGCAAAGGGTACCTGAACAGCAGGTGTGCAGAGGTGCAGCCATACAGAGCCATCGTCGTCAGGCTGTGGTCACTAACTTTATGTTTGGTTCATAAAGAACTGGTTCTTCACTGATGTAGCGTTAATGCCACATTCCCATAGAAGCTGAGCTTTTACACATGATGAATTGCTCTCTTCAGTTGGGTGTCTTCCCTGCTGCCTGTAAAACGGCGGTGGTGAGGCCCCTTCTGAAGAAGAGCAGTTTGGATTGTAATGATTTTAAAAACTACAGACCTGTATCCAACTCACCATTTTAAGTACAATTTTAGAAAAACTTGTTTTTACTCAGATTACTGATTTTCTCAATGATAGACAGATCCTGGAGATATTCCAGTCTGGATTTAGGGTGAACCACAGCACAGAGACGGCTCTCCTAAAGGTTTTAAATGATCTTAGATGTAACTGGGACGCCCAAAAGCTCTCAGTCCTGGTGCTACTGGATCTAAGCGCAGCCTTTGATACAGTAGACCACGCTATTCTTTTAAACAGACTGAAACACATGGTCGGCCTCTCTGGTGCTGTACACAGCTGGTTCACTTCCTGTCTCTCTGACAGAACTTTTATGGTGAGTATGGACACATGCTCCTCTAAGATCCATAGAGTGACATGTGGTGTGCCTCAAGGGTCGGTTCTAGGCCCTGTACTTTTTAATTTGTATATGTTGCCTCTCGGCAGTGTCATCAAAAGGCATGGAGTGAACTTCCACAGTTACGCTGATGACACGCAGCTGTACATCTCCGTGTCTCCTGATGACACCAGACCAATGGATGCCCTTTTTAACTGTATCTTGGATATACGATCTTGGATGGCAGAAAACTTTTTACAGCTTAACCAGGACAAAACTGAAGTTTTAATCGTCGGTCGAGAGGCTCAGAGAGAGAAACTCTTGTCTAAATTAGAGGCATTTTCACTATGTCCTTCGCTACAAGTGAAAAACCTGGGTGTTATTTTTGACTCTGAGCTTGGTTTTATCCCCAGAGTCCGCCCTATTCTCTCTCGGGCCAACACGGAGATGCTGATGCATGCTTTTATTACCAGTCGCATTGATTACTGTAATGCCCTAATGGAGGCCGTTCATGAGAGCGGTCGCCGTGGGAGCAGCAGGGTGGAGAGCCTAAAAAGTGGAGTTTTTTAAAACTGTGGTAAAAATGTGAAATGAGACTGAACGATCTGTCGGTGCTACTACTGATCACTCTCACTGTGGCACAGCATGAAATCGAAGCCTCATACTTGTTCCTTCCCTCAGGCCGGACCACTCTGGGTCATGGTCCCATGGACATCAGCATCCAGGGTCCTGGTGTGGCAGCTCAGCACTGCTACATAGAGAACAGGTCGGGGGTTATCACGCTGCACCCCTGTGGGAACCTCTGTGCTGTTGATGCCATCCAGATTAGACAGCCCACTCGCCTGTCACAAGGTAGGAGCCGGCTCAGCCACGTCCCACGATACATTCTGCTTTTGGTGCAGTTTTAGTAGGATTGATGTTTCCCAGTGTAGTAAAGGATCCATGGTTTCTCTTTAACTTGGCGCTTTCAGCGGCCTGCTGATGTGCACAATCCCAGTAACTGTGAGTCAGAGAGTCTGGCTGCAGGTCTGTTGGATCAAATGCTCAGTGTGAGTTTTTAAAGGAGGAGGACCCCGAGGTTCCCGGGTTAGGGAGTTAACTGAGTGTGTACGAAAGATAAACACAAGGGTTAACTGGACAGCTTAACTAGCTCGTCTGTCTACACATAGAGTAGTAACACAACTGAAGGGACCATCGCGACTATGAGATCCTTAGAGAAAGGTGTGTCGCACACCAGTACATTAATGTGGCCAATCTTTGGAAGAGGGGCGAGTCGGGATACTCTACATATTACTGTAGATACTTAATGCAGAAGCCACATGAGTCCCTACAGACTGGCTGGACCAAAGGGAGCTGAAAGTGTGTAAAAGTCTTGAGCCACATTTCTTCAATGTGAAACAGGTGCAGCACTTTATTGAAACACCTGTAAATATACTATGAGCTGGAAAGTCACTTCTTGGTAATAATAATAATAGATTGCATTTATATAGCGCTTTTCAAGGCACCCAAAGCGCTTTACAATGCCACTATTCATTCACTCTCACATTCACACACTGGGGGAGGCAGCTACAGGTGTAGCCACAGCTGCCCTGGGGCAGACTGACAGAGGCGAGGCTGCCATATCGCACCATCGGCCCCTCTGGCCAACACCAGTAGGCGGTAGGGTAAAGTGTCTTGCCCAAGGACACAACAACCAGGACAGAGAGCCCAGGGATCGAACCGGCGACCTTCCGGTTACAGATGCGATTCCCAACCCCTTGAGCCACGGTCATATGTGACCACCTTTATTCTTAGGCAGCTTTACTTCAGCTAGTCTCCAGGGACAGTTCATAGGAGGACATGCTGTCTGTCCAACAATCCCACCCTGCTCCAGTATTTTAGACCTTTTTCATTCTGAGTCTTCAGTCTATCAGACCTGCTGATTTTCAGTCCAGCTCATGTGTAATGTGGCATCCCTTTATCCATCCATTCGCTTAGCCTCTTCAGGGTTGGGGGTTGCTGGAGCCTATCCCAGCTGTCATAGGGCGAGAGGCGGGGTACACCCTGGACAGGTCGCCAGTCTGTCGCCATTCACTCCCACATTCACACCTATGGGCAATTTGGAGCTATCGCAGGGATCCCTCTTATCCCTGTTTGACAGCCATCCTCTGATCACGAGCGTTTCTGATGAGGCTTCAGTTCATGGGTCATCTGAAGGGTCAGCTGTATCTCACATCCTGGACTTTTCCTCCTGTTTCTTCTTGTTTCTTGTTTAAGATGATAACTTTCCAAAACTGTTCATCTGCTCCAGGCAGATTTTTTTTAGCCCTGTAGCTTCTTCTTTTTGGGGACACACTGTACGCATCCTGATATATACCAAGTGTTTATCTAATTATTCTTTACCTTGTTGGTGTAAAACAAACTGCTAAAGTATGTAAAGATACAGCTTCTTGTCTTTAATGTGTAAACACAACTCAGGCTCATAGTCAGAGTGCAACTAGTGTCATAAAATTAAAGTAATGGCTAACTGGTGCTCTCTATTATTACGTGGAGTCAATTAATAGCCAGAACTGAAAAACTGAAATAGAGTCCAGGAAAATAAAAAATGTCACCAAACTTATCTTTAATATTTCAATTTATTTTCTCAGAGAAATGCCGTAACACACACACACACACACACACACACACACACACACACACACACAGAGTTTCCTGTCATGTTGCCCAATTCACTGCTTTTAAAGGAAGTAAAACTGTAACGATGTAACTACTGCAGCGTAGTCATGGAAATTCATGGAAGTGTACATCAGAGCCTCGGAGAGAGCGTGCTGTGTGTAATGAGAATGAGTTAAAGAGACAGTACTCATCATTACTCACAGGATGTGTACTTCCCTCTGTACTGCTGTGTAAGTACAAACACTGTAGTGTTTTTCTCAGAGCCGTAGTACATGCAGTACTTTCTTTAAAGCTGTGCAGCAATTCTATGTCCTGCACAGCTCGGGGATAGGTGTATGTCTGCAGTGGGTCCCTTTGTCACTGTGGCATTTTGACCTGAACAGTGGCAGGGTAACCTGAGTGGGGACACTGGGCTATTTATGCTGCGCCCTTTACCCCAGACAGTCAGTCCTGGGGGGGAAGGTTGAAAAATGAGTGTGTGGGTGAAGCAGAGTTCACTGTCAGGCTCCTGGACAGTAATGCACAGTGGGAATAGCTGCAGTCCTGAAAACAGCAGCAGTTTGTGTTGTTTACAAGGCGGTAATGCACACCTTAATACACGCTGATATCTGATTATACAACAGGAAGTAGATCAGACTTTATTGGTTCCTACCACTCCCTTGGGTTATGTGAGTAATACTTTACAAGGCACAGAAGTATTCCCCTCAGGACAGGTGAGCGGGGCAGCATAGCAAGCTATGACTAGATGCTGATGTGTGTCAGCTAATCTAATGCAGCTTACCTTGGCTAGACTAAAGAGTCTAAACCACGCTACAGCTCTGCCTTGTCAGCATTTCAGTTTAGAGGAAATCAAGCAGCAACAAGCTCGTGTTATCAAAAAATGGAAATGTGTTCAGCGAGAGGGTTAGTGGTAACTGTCTGTGGTTTCAAATCAAGAGAAGTCTGTCTGTTCAAAGAAGGTGAGCTAATACTTTACCTGGATAATAGCTGCTTGGTTTCATGGAGCCTGTGAGGAAGAATACTAAAAGAAAATAGGGCCCAGATAAAACCCTTCAAAGACATTAGCAGATGAGTCAGAGTCTCTAACGTCCACATGTGTCCAACATGGCTGCTAATAGACAAACTCTCAGACTCAGGACTGAAAGAATCAGAGGGGCAATGTAAAATGTTGTTTCTGCCTTTTAATTTCAGCTCAGTTTCCCCTTCTTTAATTTGTCACTTTAGGCCTGAGGTGTCACTGGTCCTGTCCACATCAGGTCAAAGTGGGCTCACAGTGTAAAGCGTGTGTGACATCCCTGCTTTAGGCCCACGCCTTCACTAAAAGTCTACTTTCTTCTGTTTGGCCAGCTTCAGGGAGCCAACGAGGAGCAACCCCATAGATTGGGAGGTGCTGAGCAGGCTGTGCTTTTAACAGACAACTATAAAAATCTGTGACGGGTTCATTTATTTAAAGGACAGATGGTTGAATGTTCCTGCATCATCTGTGTTCAAGGGGCAAATAGACAGCTTGTTTCATTGTGTGGGCTGAGTGGCTGGACCAAGGCCTGCGGGAAGATGAATAAAGATTATTTTGAATGGGAATACAAAAAACTAAACAGTAACTTCCTGTTAAAGGGAGTTTTTCCTTCCCACTGTCACCAAAGTGCTTGCTGATAGGGGGTCATGTGATTGTTGGGATGTTCTCTGTATTATCGTAGGCTCTAGCTTACAGTATATGATTGACTGATGCTGGCGCTGTATAAATGAAACTGAATTGAATAAGGGGGGAATAAGTCCACCTTAATTTACCTGGAGGATTTTCCTACGTGTTTCCACGCTCAGTGGGTCAGGCATCTGGCATAAACATGCTCAGTAATTAATAAAAGCCCACAGGACCGTAGTGTTTGCAGCAGAGGCTGATGTGCCTGAGGAGCTCCGTTTTATGGCTGGTATAAATGGCTGGTAATACGCGGGGCTTGACCTTTGTTCTTCAGTGATTAAGCTGAGATATGAGAGAGAGGTCGACCTGCTTTCTTTTCACGTTAGAATCCGCTCTGCTGGCGCCCCTACAGACCTACAGTCAGGTTGCATAATCAATAAATCCGCGGTATGGATCAGTCACATTGTTGCTCTCTATCGTTCCACTTTGGCCCCCTGTCTCTGACTCCGGATCTCCACCTCCCTCCTCCTCCTCTCCGGTGTCTGCTCCCTGACAGCCCGGCTCTCTCCGCGGGGCGGGCATAGGGATGACTGTGAGCCAGCTGTTACTCACAGGAGCCCCGGCAGCAGAGGAGCACTCCGCGGACAGACGCGTGGGGAGGAGGCACACAATGGACAAAGATCCCGGTGACTGTGGACTGCTGCTTCAGTGAGCGTGGACACACGGACACAGGGACAGCTCCTGCAGAGTATACTGGAGTCTGCACCGCACCCCAATACACGCGCGGGATTGTTCCGCAATAAAACCCAGACAAACGGGCAAAAACACGTGGCTTTTATTTAAAGGACCTCGAGCGATGAAAGCGGCGGAGGGACGGCAGAGTTTCAGCCGCACGAGTTAAAGTAAGTTGTCGTGATTTCACCGCGTGTTCGTTTGAAGCGTTTCCCGTGCTTTGAGTCGGTGCCCGGGGCTTTGTGGAGGAGGAAGGTGACGGAGTTCGGGGAGATGGAGCAGGGTAACTCCATGCTGAGCTCGCAGGTTAGCCACCACCAAGCAGCCGCGCTGTGAGGGTGTGTACGCTGCCATTACCCGTTTCTGTCACCAAACTCTATTTAAAAACTGCGCAAATGAGTCATTTTGTGTGCAAAGTGCCAACCTGCATGGCGCAAACACATTGTCTCTGGCTTCCTATTCATTTCTATGAGGTTATTCAAAATACGGCATATATGAAACAATTATTTCTTTAAAAAAATCAACTTTAATTGAGCTCTTGCTAGTTTATCATCGTTAACTCGTTTGCTCTGCTGGGTAGCTGCTAGTTGTGCTGGCAAATTGCAAAATCCTAAAGAAGTGAAACAAACAGTACTGGCAGCTAAACTGGTTAAGCCCAGGTGTTCCAAACACCTTTGGGACACAGCAGAGGATTGTGAGTCCGCACACAGAGCACCTGCTGTCTCCAGCCTCTCAGTGCTGAGTCCTCACTTCCTCTCCTCCATGTGAGTTCTGTTTATAGGCGACAAACGCATACACGTCCGGGCTGGCGTGACCAGACCTGTCT